TCAGAAGGCCGTTTGAGAGCTCTTGAAGAAGAAAGTCCAAACTGAGCGGTCTGTTGAGGCACACTTGACTCTTTAAGTGTCTAGGGTAATGGGAGGGGGGGGGGCTGAGGACCCCCACTGTGTTTCCGTCTCTTCACGACCCCTGATATTTGTTTGAAGAAGTGCAGATGAGGACCCCTGTAGCCAAACCCCCCGGGGTGGTGCCTCTGACTGAAGTGTCTTTAGTACTGACCACCTATGTAGACCACAAGGTTCATGTCTCGTGTTTTCATCCTAGATAATCTTCCAGACTGGGGTCGTTGTCTCATACAAATCACCACCTTTACATAACACCGGGTTCGAATCTCGCCGACATTAATCTGTGAAAGGTTGGCTTATCTCTCAAAGTGCTCGTTGTTTGCTTTTGGAAAATTTTGTTTCATAACTCGAGCAGTCTCTAGAACATTCTTCAACTGTCGTTATCAGTAGCCCTGACTTAAGCTGTTGGGGACGGGTTGTAGATCTATTTATGGTATCACAATGTTGTGTTTATGGTCTGGGGTATATGTATACATTGTATATTATATACTGTATATAAATGGAGTACTCCGAACCAAACAAGCCTGCTGGTGAACTGACCGAGACGACAACGGACTGACAAAACACAATGCCTCATCGCCGCACACATGATCCGTTTACTTCCCGATTGAACGAACTGTCAAACCTACTCAAGCGGCCATACCTGTATAAGACAATCACCTGTATGAACGGTCACCTGTAGAATTTTATCCCCTGTACAAACGGCCACTTGTATAAAGCAGTCACTGGTAGAAAAGGCAACTTTTTATTTCCTCCTTCATATGTTTTATATCATACTGACACTGTGTGAGACGGCCATCTGTGTAAGACAACTATTCTCTTAGACAATGGGTGGCTGTCTTGAACAATTTTCTGAAAACAGTTTTTTTTAAAAATCATTTCATCGTTTCATTGTTATTTTTCCTTTCTCTCCGCAGAAGTATGGATTACAGAAACGATTTGGGGAAATTCCAGGTAAGAAAGAATTGAATCATAATAAATCTCCCTTTGTACGACACTAACTTTGCCTTAATTTTCATGATTTTTGTTTGTATGCATATTGTATGTGTGTCCGTTTATTAATGTATGTGTGTGTGTGTGTTTGTGTGTGTGTAGACAGACAGACAGACAGATAGATAGATAGATAGATAGATAGATAGATAGATAGATAGATAGATAGATAGATAGATAGATAAATAGATAGATAAAGAGTGGAGAGACAGACAGACAGGCAGACAGACAGACAGACAGACAGACAGACAGACAGACAGA